ATTACTATGTACGCTTGCGTGTGAGTATATATTACTATGTACGCTTGCGTGTGAGTATATATTACTATGTACGCTTGCGTGTGGGTGTGAGTATATGTTACTATGTACGCTTGCGTGTGGGTGTGAGTATATGTTACTATGTACGCTTGCGTGTGGGTGTGAGTATATATTACTATGTACGCTTGCGTGTGCGTGTGAGTATATGTTACTATGTACGCTTGCGTGTGGGTTGATCAATTTAGTCATAAGTGTAAATATTAATGGCTGTCGTGCAGTGCGCGCACACGTTTGCTTGTTTCTGCTGCCGGTGGCGCCCTCTTATAATAGCAGCCATTGTCGTCTGTGAGCTACAGTCATGTTTGAAACGTGAGAATTTCTACTTACATCCTGCAGTAGCATTCTCGCTAGCATGGTCGACCCGGCGCCTGCATACCTGACCTACCAGACACGCGATCGTCATAATTTTCCCGAAAGGAGGCGAGATTCGTCTCACGTGTGTGTACACTATACGTGTGTGTATAGTGTGCGTGTGTGTGTATACTGTGCATAGTATGCAATATTGTGCATGGCGGCTGTGCGGATGCATGGGTTTAGGATTAGGGTTTGAGTGGTGCTGGTGGTGATGCTGCTGCTCCTGCTGCTGTTGTTGTTGTTGTTGTTGTTGTTGTTGTTGTTGTTGTTGGTGGTGATGGTAGGGGTAGAATTGGTGGTGGTGGCGGCGGTAGTGGGGGCGGTAGAGGTGGGAGTCTTGGTTGTGTTCTCGTGTACTAAGGTAACAGATCCGTTTCTGCATTTCTAGTAACGCCTGCCGTTCGTGCGTGTGTCGCGGCACACGGGGGCATGTGGCGCAACCTGCTGGCACATCATCACGGTGTCTAGGCACATTTGAGCTTTTATCAGAGAAGAGTGAGTTACGAGTGAGACGGTACATCTCTCTCTCACCGCAGGCATTTATACCTCAGTGTGATCGTGATGGAGCAATCTATACGCATAGTTGTAACCGAATGCTGCTGCAGTGTGACGTGCCGCCATCTGCTGGCGGGCGATGAAAATATTAGCATATATGTAGCACCGATAGTTGGCGTCGGTTGGCATTGAGTGTGTGATGCGTAGGGGCTTCTGGGGTCATAGATATTCTATATAGAGTATATAGGCAATCTCTAGCAGGGATTGGAGGGGAGGGGGTAGAAAATACGGACTCAGCGATCGCATTGTGTGTTGTAGGGGTGCACATGATATTTCAGTAATTCTAGTCCTTGTGCTGATGCTGATGTTGGCTTAAAGCGCGTAGTGTGCAGTTCATCACGCAGCTCTGGTAGCAAGCAAGAGTCGTGCAAGCCGCCGCGACCATGTTAGAATATTCCTTCACTCATGTTTCTTTGTTCTTTTCAACTATGGATCTGGTGAAGTATATATAGGATGTGTGTATATGTATCGTCCAGAGGAAGAATGTGCGTGTTGTTGTAGCGACTTGTGATTTCAATTTCACGTCGCTCTGTTGATGGTGAACATTCTACAGGATGTGAACACTGCAACGAGGGACAAAAACATGTGGAACCAGTCTACTTAGCATCCAACCAACCGGGTCGTTTGAATGCTAGACCGTTCCCGTGTCCTCGGGCCGTTTGATAAATTGTTAACGAAGTGTGGATGCAGAGGGTGCTGCTGTCTGTGTGTGCGCAGGAGTTGTGCGTGAAGTGATACAATGACGACCGATTCACCATGCAGTGGAATGAGTGAACCTTCGCGGTGCGAATTTTGCAATTTAATTTATTTACTTTGAATTTTTAATTGATTTTCCCTTTTTGTCGTAGGTTTTACTGAGGATTTCTCTTGTTACTGCAGTTTTTATCGCAAATTTCTCTCTCTCTCTCTCTCTCTCTCTCTCTCTCTCTCTCTCTCTCTCTCGCTCTCTCTCTCTCTCTCTCTCTCTCTCTCTCTCTCTCTCTCTCTCTCTCTCTCTCTCTCTCTCTCTTCTCTCTCTCTCTCTTCTCTCTCCTTTCTCTCTCTCTCTCTCTCTCTCTCTCCTCTCTCTCTCTCTCTCTCTCTCCTCTCTCTCTCTCTCTCTCTCTCTCTCTCTCTGCTCTCTCTCTCTCTCTCTCTCTCTCTCTCTCTCTCTCTCTCTCTCTCTCTCTCTCTCTCTCTCGCTCTCTTGCTCTCTCTTGCTCTCTCTCTCTCTCCCACTCTCTCTCTCTATCTCTCTCACTTTCTCGGCGTCTGTATGGAGTTAGTATTGTTGTATGGCTGGATCTCATGGCGGGATTCCTGCATTGTTTCACGTTCACCCAATAATCACATGTGACGTCCAGGCACCAGCTGAGACAATGCCTTGCTTTATCCTCCGTCTATGCTACCAGAGCTGGTATGATTCAGGAGTTAGTGAGACCATGAGAGCGCGGATCGCACATTTACATGTTGGTTGGTTGTTTAGCTCCCGTTAGTCCGCGAACAAACCGAGTGCATGAGTTTATCTAATGTCACATTGATCCGTATTGATAAAGTAATAGCCTAATAAATGTACTCAGTATAATAGAGTTATTTGGTAAGAGTTAGTGTTTTGTGTTCGTTTACATGGCTACGTATGCATCCTTGTGTGTAGGTGCGTGAGTGCGTGCGTGCGTATGTGTGTTAATAATTGTATATATATATATCATCAGATGTGTTAGAAAGACACAAAAAATAGAAGAACAATGAAAAAATTCTATGTTTCATGGAAAGTTTTACCTGCATTCGGCAAATATATATTTCATTTCGCTGCAATGCGCACGTAAATGTTTAAAAATAAAAAGTATGAAACGTCTTGAAATAGATACATCACCGCACGCACACAGACAACCATACGTCGATAAGAGTGTAGTAAAAACTAGTCTGGCTGATACAATGAAGACGTACAAGATCAACAGATGGTCTGTTGTACCGCGTGAACCTACAACATTACGACAAACACGTACACTCTAACGTAGGTAACACGCGATCTAATAGACAATTCTCGCTGTATCCACACACATGAACCAAGGATATAAAACAGAAAATATCTCTCTATTCTATATCTACGAATGATCCCTAACAATACGTTTAGACGTCATTAATTAGCATGCAACAACGTCAACTACTATCGTCAACGTCGTTTCCACGGGCACTTGGAAAGTTGGAACGTTTCAATAATAAAATGATGGTAAATAAACACGAACTGTATTTACGACCAAAGTCTTGGTGTTTCTCTACTCTTTGCTGCCTATTATTAGGCGATTTCGCACATTATTATTTATTATTGAAACGTTCCAAGTGCCTGCGGTCGTCACTGCTTCTCGGTCGCTGTCAGCCTGTCACAACCGGTGGTAGCTGCACACGCGAACATTATGTGCTGCTGTTTCGACGTGTGTACTATTTGTCTACGGATACTATATATGTTTATACTGTATATGTATGTATGTAACATATGTATATATGTTTACACGTAAACTTTACGCGGTGACTCGCACGTCACACTCTCTCTCTCGCTCTCTCTCTCTCTCTCTCTCTCTCTCTCTCTCTCTCTCTCTCTCTCTCTCTCTCTCTCTCTCTCTCTCTCTCTAAACAGTAAACACCTGTGAGATACCAGGAGCCCGTTGTCAGAAACAAAATGAAAATAACGCATTTACACAAAGAATTTCAATCATAGTGATATTATATTTTATATTAATTAGTAAATCGTGTGTTTTTTATGGAAAATACGTCAGAAACATTATCATCTACCGATCGTAAACAAACATTTGCAAGTGGCCAGTGGCGTTTGTTCTCTTGTTTTGAATATTCTTGCAGCAGACGATAAACCTACATGCAACATGTATGATGGTGTGGTTATCATCATAATATTATCATTATGCATAAATTACAGTGATTAATGTGTATGAATTAGAATTTTGTGATTGATTCTTATACAATCAGCAGCATTGGGACGTCAGGTTATAGAGTTTAGTAGTCGTAAGTGCTATTTTAGTCATTACTTTAGTATTAACTTTACGATGTTCCTGACAACACTCGATCCGTTATTGGTCTATGCGAAAACGTGTAAGTAGGTCTTATAGGGTCTATGTCTCCCAGGGTACTGCCGGAATTAACGTACCCTGGGTGCGGTACGGTATACCCACAGGCACTTGAAGCATATCAACTGTAAACACACGGCCGCCATTGCGCGTACACTAACACATAGATATAAGAGTTAAGACACCTCAATATCTATGTGTTAGTGTACGCGCAATGGCGGCCGTGTGTTTACAGTTGATATGCTTCAAGTGCCTGTGGGTATACCGGTATCACGCTGATATGGTTAGGGTTAGGTAGGGAGTAGGCGTAGGCGACTCTCTAGACTCGTTAGTGGAGTAGGCGAGGTATATGGTCCGGCATATTAGATAGTACCAGGGTACGTTCTGGTATACCGGACCGTACCCAGGGTACGTTCCGGCAGTACCCTGGGGGTCATAGACCCTCTCAGCGTAAGTAGGCCATTGCGTCACTGTGCAGTGCAGTGTATAGTCCGAGTTTCCTCTGACCAATGCCCACACCGACGATTTTGGTGGAGTTGGTGTGGGTTAGCAATTATTGTGAGCTTGGAGCGATGAAACAGTGATCCTCGGCGGAATCGCAGAAATTCCATGTTTTGTATGGGCAAGTTGCTCTGACTTAACCCACACCAAATCCACCAAAATCGTCGGTGTGGGCATTGGTCAGAGGAATCTCGGACTATGCAGTGTAGTGTTGTTGCTGTCACCTGTCCGGTGTTCAATCACACAAATTGTCCCCGGAAGTTGTTGATACCTAGCGGTGGCTTCCCCCATCGCTCCCGCAGGCGCGACATTTCCCCAGGTTCTCCCTCAAAGTCTCCAAAATACAGGCTGTCCAATAGATCGTAGATTCCTGCCTCAGCAGCCACCTGGTGACAGAATTATGAAACGCATACGTATGGATGCTTAGATCAGTCGCTAGTACGCACTCACGCACAATTACTGCTAACTTAACATTTAGTCACTATTGTTAATTAATTCGCTAATTACTGCTAACTTAACATTTAGTCACTATTCTTCCCTGTTGTGATCGTTAGTGACATCGTTTCGTTCTCATTCCGGAGAGACAAGTTCTCTCATTCACTAATTTACTTGCCAACCTAACGTTTGCTCTCTAATCTACGATCTACGATCTCGGTCGTGTGCCATCATCATCATCGTCGTCATTGTCGCTCGTGTCGTTGTATTTCAGCCGGCGTCACAGGTGACCGGTTCGAGTCCCGCCCGCCTGCGCATCCCCTCCGACCTCGCCAACCTTGTCGAGACAACAGAGGGCGCCACCGACGACGACGACGACGACTCCGCCCCGCTCGTGCATCACGCCCAGATCAGCTAACCGTGCGGTAGCCACGGCGGCGCCCCCTCGTGGCAGGCGAGGGAGGAACGAGCGTTCAAGTCAATGTGATGTAGATCTGTGTTTGAAGTATTAACTTTGTTATTTCGCTAAGTATCGTATTCCTACGTGCGTGCGTACGTGCGTGCGTGCGTGCGTGCGTGCGTGCGTGCGTGTGAGTGCGTAGGCATGCGTGTGCGTGTGAGTATATGTTACTATGTACGCTTGCGTGTGCGCGTGAGTATATGTTACTATGTACGCTTGCGTGTGAGTATATGTTACTATGTACGCTTGCGTGTGAGTATATGTTACTATGTACGCTTGCGT